CTGTATTGCCTGTAAATGGTCTTATAAAATAAAGTTTTTGATGCTTTTGTGCTTAAAGGCTTTAAATGCTTGAACCCCGATAAATGCTGCATGCAGCTTTAATTACATTTATAATTACACTGTTGAGCCTTCCTTGACACCTTGACTTACCCTTAAACCTACCCATACCACCACACCTGTCTCTAACCTTACCCTTATCACGACTTATACATGATGAATACAATAAGTACAATGCACTTATTTTTAGATGTAAGTACAAAGTACTTAAAGCCACTTAATATAAAGTGGGACCCAAATTACCCTAAATTGTAATGTAGAAGCATGCATTTTCTGCTTTGAAACGACATGTATTGTCAGAAAGTGCAATTCTAAGTGGAGCTGAATTGTGGCATTAAACATTGGCTAAAGTCTGAGCATCACAGCAACCAAAGTCATGTGATCAAGGTTATTTTTGCATTACATATCGTTTCGTGCTGCTAAGGACACATAAAGTACTTTATTATCAGTAATACATTTTAAACATTTAACATTTTAATAACATACTCTGATGAGATGTCGAGTGGTGTGCTCATCAGATTGGCCATTTGAGCCAAACGTCAATAATCTGACTCTGTTCTCTGTGTGTGTGATTGTGTCATACTATCGACTAGGAAGCATCAACAGAGACAGATGTTTATTTTGCACAATTCAGAATACTAAGATCTGCCACTATTCGAAATACTGTTAAAAAAAGCACAATGAAAATAACAATGTGTGAGAGAGAGAGACAGAAAGAGGGTGCGCTGGCACCGAGTGGAAGAGAATTATGGCGTTTCTCTGTCAGTTCAGAAGAAGATTTAGAATGGAGCGAGAGAGGGCTGAACCTGCCAGCGAGGATTTGCACACAGATGACAATTCATTAAAGGAGGAAAGGCGAAAATTCAGAGGGAAATGATTCACCATTTAACTTCACAACACAAGAGCATTCAGAAGGAGATCATATCTAGTCAATCTATTTGACTTCCACCATATCAAATCAAAACGCAGAGGCTTTTTGAAAATTCTTCATCTGCTAAAATACAAAGAGGATATGACACTATCCATATTCTTTCTGACAGAGTAAAAATGCATGTGGACTATATTTTTAGGTGAATTTTATACAAAAAGAACTCTATACATCTATCTATATCTATATCTATATCTATATATATATATATATACATACATACACCTTTCAATATTTAGGGGTCAATATATTTAAAACAAATAATTTTATTCAGCTAGAATACATTAAATTGTTCAAATGTTGCAGTAAATACTTTTACATTGTTACTATATATATATATATATATATATATATATATATATATATATATATGTATATATATATATATATATATATATATATATGTATATATATATATATATATATATATATATATATATATATATATATAATCACAGAATCCTGTTTTTTTAAAAAAAACTTTTTATCATAGAATCATTTGTGAAGGATCATGTGACAACAAAGGCTGGAGTAATAATGCTGAAAATTCAGCTTTGCATGACAGGAATAAGTTACATTTTGAATTGCATTAAAATAGAAAACAGCTCTTTAAAAATATAATAATATTGTTCAATATTACTGTTTTTTATCTGGCTTCTAATCAAATAAATAAAATCCTTGATTAAAAAAAAAAAAAAAGAAAAAAATCGGCCAGGTTGTAATATAGTCTTGTGCACATTGAATATCAATATTATTTTGATTAAAAACAGCATAACTGAAATAAAATATTATTGTTGATTTCACAGGAGGTAATGTGAATATAATGCAACAATGCAAATAATCCAAATAGTTAAGTCTATCCAGTCAGTGTAATGAAAACAATAAACATTTCACATCACCATGATATTATATAATAGGCTTTGACACAGAAGTGATGCAGAGACTAAACCAAGAGAGAAAAAGACAAATAAAGAAAGAAAGAGGAAGGAAGGAAGGAAGGAAGGAAGGAAGGAAGGAAGAGGAAGGAAGTAAGGAAGGAAGAAAGGAAGAAAGGAAGGAAGAAAAAAAGAAAGAAAGAAAGAAAGAAAGAAAGAAAGAAAGAAAGAAAGAAAGAAAGAAAGAAAGAAAGAAAGAAAGAAAATGAGCCAGAACGATACAGGGAGAAAAGAAAGAGGGCGAGTGACTCTGATCAAGAGTGCAGAGAGAGAGAGAGAGAAAGCCATGCAGCGGTTTGCAATCCTCCTGCCTGGAACACAATTATTCTAAGTAGTTTTCCCATCAGTAGCAGGCATGAGCGGAAGACCCTCGGGTGAGCCAAAACCTTTTCTGCAGAGGCAAAAGGGAGAGGGAGGGGGAGCAGCTCTCCAATTTATTTGATAAGGCAAGCGGAACTCAGTCCTGCCAACTGTTGCAAAGAACAGGAAAATCACCCTCGTACCCTCAGCCAACTCTCGTCAGGCAGCTGACATTTCATTGGCCACTGTCAAATCCAGATATGAAACTATATGTATGATTCATATATATTTTTGAAGTGTGGGAAACAAAATCCTCCCTCAAAGGGAATATATAGCCTACAACTGATGGGAAAACAAAACAAAACACACACACAAAAAAAAAAAAACTAAACAAAACAAAAAACAAAACACACAAAAAAACAAACAAAAAACAAAGCAAAACACACACACAAAAACAACAACAAATGAATGTTGCTTGACATAAGAAATTAAAGACTTACTGAAATATTTTTGCAAAAGAAATACTAATAATAAAATCTTCACTGGTTAAAATCCAAACCATAAAATGTAATCCAATAAAATGTCCACAGATTTTTGTTTGGGCATTTCTTCAGCTTGCTTGCCTCACTAACGCTACTTACACTGAGACGACTGCAGGGAGCAGCAGCAAGCATGTTATTGTTATGACAACCAGATGTATTGCTTGCTGAAGAGATCTATCAGTAAATCAACTAGCATTAGCAAAAAAAAAAAAAAACGCTTTCCTTCTCCGCAATGTTATCTACTGAGGACAAAAACAATAGGAGAATGTAGTTAGAAGTTGAAACAAGGATATTTTAATGAATTACATGGACGTCTGGTCACCCTTTTACTAAAATATTGTGAAACTTGTGGTCTGTGGTATCTACAATTTAAAGACATTGTGTTACATCAATACTAGCATACTGTGTTTTGACGCACTCATGAAGTAGAGTAGAAGTACATGATGGGATGCAAGTGCAACCCTATAGAGTCACAGATCTGTAAAATGGAAACAGCGGAAACCACACAAAGTAGTACTAATCAGATCTGAGTTTTATGCGAGTTCTAAGAGACTTTTCATCCACATTTTCACTAGCATCTCCAGTTCTTCAGTCCTCTTCATCTTCAGTCCTCATCTCTCAATCTCCCTGGCCTCACTTTCAAAACTGAGAGGCTGACGCCATAAATTAATTTGATGGGAGGATAAATGTCAGGCCGGGAGCTTCTGAAGATCAACTAAATATCAGTTTCTTTTCAACACTGAATCAGTGTCAAAAACAATAAGAGAACCAATTTAACTGGAGAGATGAAAAAGCAGCTGACGACCAAGTGAATTCGAGAAAGAGAGAGGCTTTTGAGAGCCCTAACAACCACTATGACCGCATGCTTCAAGCGGTGCTCGCTTTCGGCTTGAGCTTTTCCATATAGGATGCCAGGTTGAGATGACAAACAGGTTGAAATTGTATATGGTGTGTGGATTGTGTGAATATAATGCATTTAATACAAGATCTGGCAACTGGTCAACATTGGTCTGATTATTCATAAATGAGTTTGGGCCATGCAAATTACAGGAGGGGAAATAAACTGGGAGTGGTCCCTGGGAGAAACTGGGAGAAACCCAGGAAAAACGGGAGTGTTGACAGGTATGCCGTGTCCCACCGCCTTCTTCCCTTTAACATTGTTACAAAGGCATTTTCGTCTGCCATGTAAGCGGACAGATCGGATATTTCCCTTTCAGTGCGAGACGTCCGTCATCGGAAAAGCCACGGTGGCGAATGATTTTAACTCGGATGGACACCGACCACCGTGATTACATTAGCGATCATTGCTACACAGTAAATTTGTCAGAGTAAAATTTACTCAAATTGAAGAAAATTTTACTCTATTCCAGATAACATTTGGTCCCTCTCTGAAAAGAGTAAAAGTTACTCTTTTGATAGAGCAGTTTTTCCAGAGTTAATTATACTCAATTTAGTGATACAATTTTACTCTTTCCAATGATATTTAACTCTATTTAGTGTTTTTTAAAATCAACTCTCATGCTATTTTACTCAGTTTAGAGCTACAAGAAAATTACTCTGCTACTTTTTAACTCTGTTCAGGGGAACTTTAAATGTACTCTGCCACAATTTACTTTCCCTCCTGAGTTGTTTATTATCAATTATGAGTAAACTATAAAGAGTAAATTATTTTTCTGAATTGCACCATTCATGTTTTACCCTCAAAAAGTCGTAAAAATATAAATGAAAAACTTGCTGTCTGAAAAAAAAAAATCAACAACTTTATACTCATATATCTCAATTTTATTTTTCAAGCACCTGTTTAAACAATGTTGCACTTACACTCAATTCACTTGTGATCAAAAAAATAAAATAAAAATTAACAATAATAATAAAATAATCGAAAATTGTGATAAAATTGTGTCTTCCCTCAAAGTTTCTTTATTACATAGTTTCAACAGATTGTTACTGTACTAAGCAGAAAAGAATAGCACAAGAACAACAATTTGGATGGTAGGTGATCTATAAGAACCTGTCTGAGAAATAAGCAAGTTCAAGGTCACACAGTAACACAACATATGAAGAGTTCAGATGCAAAAGCCTCTAAGTGCCATTTGAAATTTTCTCCTAGAATGATCATTTTTATCAATCTTGTATATTTAAGTTCAGTAATTTCACTTAAATGACAATCAATAGGTAATCTTCATTGCCATTTAAGTGAAATTACTGAACTTAAATATACAAGCTTGATAAAAATGATCATTCTAGAAGAAAATTTCAAATGGCACTTAGAGGCTTTTGCATCTGAACTCTTCATATGAACTAGTGTCATTTTATCTGCTTCATCAGTTGCTTCACCTTGATGAATTTCACAAGAATCACGCTTTTCTCGCTGAGATCTTTCCCGGCCTTAACTTGAGGGTGGCAAAAGGTGAACCAGCATCAGAATGGATGACATGTCGCTGTCCCAACCTGAAGACAAGGAAAACAAAATAAACACATTTGTTTTAGTTTTTTAGGTAGAAGGGGATGAACATACTCAGTTGAACTAGTTTTACGTAGACTTAACTTCACTTGGATGATGTGTCAGTATAAATACTTTAACCACTCCAGTACTTTAGTTTATACTGCACACAGAATAAGTATTATAGGGATAGTTCACTTTGAAATTAATTTTTGATATGTTTTAGCTTACCTCAAGGGCATCCAAGATGTAGGTGTCTTTGTTTCCACAGTATTTTCAATTTTGACATTTTTCAGTCAAACCGTTCTTGTCTGTCAGTCATATAATGGAGGTCTATGGTCACCACCTCAAAGAGCATGCACAGAGAAGTCCAAATTAAACATGATTGAATGACTCGTAAATGTAAGTACACATTGATGGCCTAAGACACGAAACGAGCGGTTTGTTTGAGAAATCGAACAGTGTTTATATCGTTTTTACAGATATTAAATGAGGTCAAAGAGTTAAACTTTATATCAAAGAGTTAAACTTTTTATATTTCAGAGACCAATATGAAAGCCATTTCAAACTGTAAATCTGTAAACTCCTCTACTAGGTCTTTGAGAGAAGATCAAGGTAGAAATGTTAGAGAAACATGTGATTTTCATTCTGACAGTTTACCCATTGCAAGTCTGTGTTGCATATGAATCAAGCATGTCTAATGGGTAAAGTATAGAGTAAACTCTAGATCTGAATAAAGCTATGCTGTCATAAATGCATAACTTCCAATTAAATAATTTAAGTTATAGCACAATAGTTACCTTCAGCATTTTGGATAACGTCTTGGAGCTCACTAGTCTGTTTGAGGCCTCGCGGCTTTGAAGGGATCCCTGTCAGTAGTTGGCCCACCTGAAAGTATTTAAGACAATATGAAAACAAAATATTTTGTTCCTTTTCTTTCAAAAGCACAACACATTTATACCAGAACTAGATGACAGGAAAAAAACATAGAAACCATACAGTATCCCAGAGTGGGATAATCCCAGAGTGAGAGTTTCCCAGACTTTTAAATTTGCCCAACATGTAGGGATGGGCAATGATTAATCGCATCCAAAATAAAATTATATAATATATGTGTGTGTAGTGTGTATAATTAATTTGTATATATAAATATACACACATGCATGTATATATTTAAGAAATATTTGCATGTATATACTTTATATATATTTACACATAATTAATATTATATATAAATATTTGATATATTAATAACACATTCTTCTTAAATATACACATACATGTGTGGGTATTTATATTTATAAATTAATTATACACACTACACACACATATATTATGTAAACACAATCTTTTATTTTGGATGCGATTAATCGCGAATTCGCGATTAATTGTTGCCCATCCCTGAGAACAGCAATTATATTTTGAAAAGATACTATGTTACTCTGTCTCGACCTTATTTACATTATGACTTAATGACTGACCAATCTGGAACAAAATAATACTTCAAAGACAGATGCGTAAAATAACCAAGTTGTATGGTCAATAAAAAAGTTACAAAAGTTTATTAATCATTCCGTTCAAGCTAATAAAAGCAGACTAAAAATCAAATCTCACACCTGTTTGTGGTTGCCTTTTCATCCGTCCCTCTGATTCTTCTTTCTGCAGGGTTTTTATTCTCCATGCCAGATATCCACTTCCATCTTCTGGATTGTAATAATGCTCCTATGACCAGAACAATACACAGACCTAGTAGTTATACATTACACAATTAAAGAAATAAATACCATATGAATAATAATGTAGATAATCTTTACTCTGCAGTATACAGAGTATATCATCCTCCTGTAAATCAAAAATATTGAGAGGCAACAGCTACGTACATAACCAAGCTTGCTCCTGGGTGACCCATTCTGCCAAGTATGGGAATAGGGAGATGATTCCCTTTGCATATTCTTGAAATGTAAAAGGTGTTGGAGAGAAAATATATTTCTTGGTGTCTTTGAACTTCACTCTCAGTCTCACAACGTTGTTGGTTTGCATTCTGGAGGGACCAAAAAGACAGTTAAGGCGTTAACACTCACAGTCAGATGAAGCCCTGATTATATCAAAAGCTTACAATAGTCATTCATTACAAGGAAGTTATCATGCTTTTAACTTTAGATACTGTTCCAAATAATAAGTAGTTCCCTATGAACTATTTGGTAATACTTGAGTCATAATCAGTGGGTTACCAACATTACAATATTTTATACATTATGCATTGTTCACGTTAATTATGAACCTACAAGCAGTAGTAGTTATTATTTATTAGTAATCCTATGGGAGGTATAAAAAAGTTACTGATTAGCTAATAGTGAACTAACACATTCTGAGCGCTATTACTCACTATTTATTAATCAGAATTCGTTAGTTAATATTTTCTACTAGAGCGTTAATAATGCATTAATCATTTGTTCATGTGTAAGTTATTCATCATGAACAAATATTTAACGCATTGTTAACACTCAAAATGACCACATCAAAATGGCCTCCATCATTAAGGCTAACGTTAACTTAACTCTTTACAGAGTCAAGTACATGTGGCGCACAACTCGAGCCGCTCATCGTCACAGTAATGTTACGTTAATGTACGTATAACTTACTGGACACATCAATATGCAGCTAGCTAGTTTCAATAGTGTCAATTAAAGTTTATGTAAGCTATAACTTATAAATAGCCTCCATCATTCCAATTAAGGCTAACGTTAACTTAACTCTTAATAGAGTCACGTACATGTGGCGCACAACACGAGCCGCTTACTGGACAGTGGACACACATAATTATGCAGCTAGCTAGTTTCACTAGTGTTAACGTTTACTTAAGCTATAACTTATGTCATCTAACGTTCTTTGCGTTTGGGGTGATTACAAAAATAAGTTAATTTATCCCATTAGTTTAATCTTGAGCCCAGTTTAAAATGTGATCCTTATGTGTTCGCCTTCCCAGTTAACTAACATAGGCTTAGCATTTTGGCTGTAGTACAACTGCATTTAACAAACAAGTGATTAACGTTAACGTTAGTGATTTTCTTGTCGAGCACTAACTTAACGGTCACGTTAAACTTCACATCAAGTTAACATGAGAAAGCTATCTCTGTAATGTTCAAAAACCGCGGAATTGATCTGAGCTCAAAACAGAGGCGATTTTTATGAAAATGGGTACTAAAACTTTGGAATTCTACTTACTTTTAAATCCAGCAGTAGCACAACGATCTCTTCCAAATCCAAATGCAGATCGCGATCGCGATGGCCGTGTAGAACAGTAATGGCTGACAAACGAAACTTAGGGAGCAGAAGATTTTGGGGAGGAGTCACAGTTACTCTATAATTTTGCTCCCACTCTATGGACACATTTTACTCTGTTCACTCAAAATAGATAAAAAACAACTCTTTTTGAGGAAAAAAATAATTACTCTGGAAAAACTACTCTGCTATTTTTCCTGTGTAGATTCACCCAGGATGCAAAAGAGCTCTCCCCTTTTTCTCCACATCAGGAGACCAATGTTTAGATGACCTTTAAGGTTGGTGCGCAGAGCAAAAAGCTTGTAAAATCATTTCGTCTGCATCCATTGCAGATTGTCCTCTGCATGTAGCACATCCAAGTTAGTCCACACATATTAGGAGTTGTGAGTAGTGAAAACACACTGCACAACCATGGACAGATCGGGGAGCGTTTGGGGGAGTAAGTCAGTTCCTGCCGCCATTGAGAATACCAGTCTGACTCTATAACTATTAGGCCACAACTGCCCAATGATAGTGTAAATGGAGATATCGGAGATGGGTCACTTTTAAAATAGATGTACGTTAGGTTTGGGTACTGAAACACAGTGCCAATAGGGAACCGGTTCCAACGTAAACGTTAGTACACTGTAAAAAAAAAATCCGTTAAATTGACGGGAAAACTCCGGCAGCTGTGGTTACCAGAGTTTTCCTGTTAAAAGTACGGTAGCAACATTTTAGGTTTTACAGACTTTGACGTATAATTTTACAGCAATAAACCGTATTTCATTATTTGATATAATGTTAATTTACTGACATTTTGTAGTATTAATATCTGTTTTGTTCAATTGCAATACACCGACAGCCATCTATCACAGCAATAATGAGAGTCAAATGACCAATCAAAGCTCATCATTATCAGCTCTTCTATTAATTAAGAATTAATTTAACAACGTTAAATGTAACATAAAACCCTAATGAACATAAATGATAAGAAAAAAACTAAGAAAATTATGAATAAACAGTTAAAATACATTAAATGTGAAGTGTCATGCAGGGAATTGTGGGAAAGTCAATTTAATTTTTTTTCAGTGTACATTATACAATGATTTCTTCTTTTTCACTTCCAAAAACTGTAAATTTAACAGTATTTTACAGTAAAACTACATTAAATGTACCATTATATATCACAGTTATTTACCGTATATAGTAAGGAAATTTTCTGTTAACCAATTAACAGTTTTTCACTGTAGCATTTTTACAGTCTTTTACTGTTAAAATCACGATTATTTTTTACAGTGTAGCCAGACCGAATAAGAACGAAAATTTCGGTGCCTGAGTCTGTATGTCATGAGGTGCACACGCGCGAGTCTCTCGCTCTCTCCCTCTCCGTAGTGCGCACTATACGGTTTGGAGCACAGTCTGTTCTGTCTCGCATGCGCGCTCTTCCTCACTCGCTCTAGATTCCGGAAGATTTTAACTAATTTGCAGGCATCAGGGAACCGTTATCAATACTATCAAGACTCCGACTAATGAAGATGCCGATGACAAAACGCTCCAAGGTTTGGCTGCATTTCACTTGTAAAATTATGCGTCAGAATGCCCTCTATGTGTGTGCGGGTGCCGCTTTAACGCTCTTGCGTCGTCATATTACAGTTTTTTTTATTCGCTTTGGTACTATTTTCACAAGTAAGGTGTACATTTTTAAAACTCTTAGTGCTAATATCACAACAGATCATCAAAAGTGCACTTTTTTCAAACATTTCATCATGTTTTCAACTGTGTTAGTACAATTCACACAATCACAAAGTATCCTTTTCACAACACAAAATAAGTGTTTCATCTACATTATTGTTTCATTCACAGTAACTGCCTTTCATAAAGCTCTTACTATCAAACTTGATTTGCATCTCTTTTTGTTCAGTTTAATACTTTTGTCTATTATTTAATCCAACAGATCTTAATGGTTAATCAATTAATCATTTGGTAAACATATAGATTTTCATTTCAGCAATATACAGTATATGGATTTTGAGAACTACAGAAATAAAATGTGTGTTTGTATGAATATTTATATTACATGTGTAACCAGTAACCACACATGATGAATACTCGTTATAGCTAATTTTTTTCACATAGTGGTGACCAGTCTGACCACAATTGGCCACTATGTACTGTAATGTGTGCACTAAATGTTATGTTTTGTTCTTCTTTAGTTACATTTCATTATAGAAAGTATACCTATGTTACAATTATATCTGAAAAATAAAAACTATAATTTGCCTAAATGATTGTAGAGGATGTCTTCATTGATCCTTGATTTGATTAGGCCTACATATATGATGGATATTTGGAAATTATAGATTATGTAAATGTTGGGTACTGCAAGTGTATTGCCTAATGTTACAGTAAAACTGTGTAATCTGTCTTTTATAGTACTGTAGCATATTCATTTCAGCACTTCTAAGGCCGATTTGAAACATGTATCTTGCATTGTTTGCTGTTGGATGAACTGATTGTTAAAAGTACTAAACTGAAAGAAGATCATATTGTTGTGTTTCAGTGATTAAACCAAATGTTCTCATTACATATTACAATAATCTTGTGTTTGAAATAATTATTATGTGGACTGAAAACATGTGCAACTGACTGAAAGCATTACATCAGGTTTTGAAAGAATGACTAGCTGCGTTACAAGTGTGATCAGTTTGGATTTTTGTACTAAGAGTTTTGAAAATGTACACCTTACTTGTGAAAATAGTACCAAAGCGAATAAAAAAAACGGTATATTAGCGCATGCATCATCTGCTCCTCTGCCGTCAACGGAAGCTTGTCGGCAGCGTGAGGAGTTTGGCAGCGAACGCAGCGTCTCGTTCCCTATTCAGAGAACATGGGTTACACCAGTAATCAGAGACGTTCTCTTTCATACGTTTAAAACGCAGTGGGAACGAATATCAAACTCGCCAAGCTAAGCACTGCGTAACTAGTACAATGACCAGATAACTTATATGACTGGTTCAAGCAGACAAAACATCTGAACCTGTAGCCATGTCGATATTAGATTACCCTGGTAACGTAATAATCTCTATTAATCTCCAGTATTATTACATTGTTTGATACAATATTGTTTTATTTGATATTATTGGTTTATTGGTTTATTATTATTACAATGTTACTTGTATTTATATTGTTTAAAGATTTAAGTTAATATTGTGTCCAGTTTGGCCCTGTAAATAAAGGGGTATTATTTTTTGACAAAGTGTATGCGGTTTCGTTTTCTTAAGTACTGCTTCAAGAACCGTTTAAAAAAATACAGATAGGTACTGGTATCGGATAAAACTCAACCGATACCCAACCCTACTGGTAAGTAAAAAAATATTGGATATAGTCAACAAATCGGAATTGGCCATCAAGCCCTGCAGTGTAAATGTGGCCTAAGAGACGAAACCTATCTCATAATTATAGACACTTTAATAGCTTAAAAAGTAGTTTGAGCGTCTGACCTTAACTTTGAGGCAAACTGTTTGCCTATGTGAGCATGTTTGCCACAGGGGTTTGCTAGAACACACTCTATGAAAGAGTGTCTGAAAGAGAAAGAAAGAGTCAAATAAAGACATAAGGTGTGGAAAAAAAGTGTAATGTGAAATTTGAAAATGTAAATCTGATAAGGACTACGAAAACACACATCCATCTCATTTTCACTTGAGCCTTT